TAATTAAGAAAGGACTTGTATCACCGAAGTTCATCAGAAAGAATTTCTATCGGAAATTAACGAACAAGCAGATACATAACAAATTGGTGTCAGAGAGCAGGACGAAAAAAAAAAAGAAAGATGGAAAAGAGAAGGGGAAAATCAAACTACGACTGAGCAGATTTGGTGGCAGCAATACAAGAACAGCATAAGAAACAAGAAGAACGAGAAAAGAAACAAGAAGAACAGAAAAAAACAAGAAGAGAGATTACAGCAGTTGTTGGAGAAAAAGAAAAGAAACAAGAAGAGAGATTACAGCAGTTGTTGGATGAAAAAGAAAAGAAACAAGAAAAGAGATTACAACAGTTGTTGGAGAAAAAAGAAAAGAAACAAGAAGAACGAGAAAAGAAACAAGAAGAGAGACAACAGCAGTGGCTGGAGGAGAAAGAAAATGAACAAGAACAGAGACTACAGTAGTGGCAGGAAAAGCAGCACCAGTGGCAACTGGAACGAGAAAGGAAACAAGAAGTACAAATGGAAAATATTAGTAAATTTCAAAGTGAATCAACTACATTAAAGGACAATTTACTGCCTTCTACAAATGGAGGATACATTAACCATGGACCTAATCAGCCTCAGACAACAGGAAGCCCCTTCCAGACCCCGCAGCTAAACCCTAAAGCAGATATCTTCAGTCCTGCCAGAAGTCATATTCCAGACATGAGTGTTTGCAATAGGGGTGATCTAGTACAAAGAAAGCCATAGGAATTCGATGGGAAGGCACCATGGGAAGCATATAGAGCATAGTTTGAGCTCCTGGCAGAAATGAATGGATGGACAGAGGAGCTGGCAACGAGCCTGAAGGGACAACCACTGGAAATACTTGGACAGTTGTCAGCAGATGACAGGCACAACTATAGGGCACTGGTAGCTGCTCTAGAACTCAGGTATGGAACCCAAAATCAGTCTGAAGTCTACAGGGCTAGGTTTAGGACGAGAGTCCATGCTAAAGGGGAGAGCCTTCATGATCTGGCACAGGATTTGGAAAGTATGCCACACAATGCCTACCAAACTGCACCACCCAATGTCCTCAAGCTGTTGCTG